GGACCCCCCAGAGCCCCCCCAGGGCCCTCCCTAGACTGTCAGACACCCCCAGACCCCCCCCCACGCCCAGAGACCCCCAGAGATCCCCCCAGACCCCCCAGACACGCCCACCCCAGGGAGATGTCCAGGCCCTGGGGCTGAGCCGGGACACACGGACACACGGACACAGGGACACACGGACACACGGACACATGGACACGGGGAAACATGGACATGGGGACACAAGAACAGGGGGACACACGGACACACGGACACACAGACACACGGACACATGGATATGGGGACACACGGACACAAGGACACGGGGACACATGGACACAGGGACACACAGACACAGGGACACACGGACACAGGGACACAGGGACACAGGGACACATGAACACACAGACACAGGGACACAGGGACACATGAACACACAGACACAGGGACACACGGACACAGGGACACATGAACACAGGGACACACGGACACAGGGACACATGGATACGGGGACACACGGACACATGGACATGGGGGACACACGGACACATGGACACAGGGACACAGGGACACATGGACACAGGGACACATGGACACAGGGACACACGGACACGGGGATACACGGACACATGGACACAGGGACATGGGGGACACACGGACACGGGGACAGGGGGACACATGGGCACACGGACACACAGTCATGGGGACACACAGACACGGGGACACACAGCCATGGGGACACACGGACACACGTACACGGGGACACACGTACACGGGGACACACGGACACACGGACACACGGACACACGGACGCGGGGGACAGCCGGTGTCCGCAGCCCGCGCCCCCGCTCCCCCCGGTCCCCCGCAGCCGCCGCAGCTCCGCGGCCCCGCCCGCCGCCGGTCACGCAACCTCCCCGCACCCCCCGCACCCCCACCCTGCCCGGGCCCGCACCCCGCACCCACCGCCCCCACCCGCAGCCCCCATCCCACCCGCACCCACCGCCCCCACCCGCACCGCCACCCCCGCGACTCCCCCCGCGCCCGCAACCTCCTGCCCCGCATTGCGCCGGCACAGCCGCACCGCGCCGGCCCCGGCCAGGGACCCCCACCCAGGGACCCCACCCACGGACCCCACCCAGGGACCCCATCCACGGACCCCATCCACGGACACCACCCTCGGACCCCCACCCACGGACCCCCCCTCCCATGGAATCCCTCCCATCCACCGACCCCCATCCACGGACACCACCCACGGACCCCACCCACGGACCCCATCCACGGACCCCATCCACGGACCTCACCCACGGACCCCATCCACGGACCCCACCCAGGGACCCCACCCACGGACCCCCCCACCCACGGCCCCCTCCCCACGCCCGCAGACCCCCCCGGGGACCATCGCTTCCCCCCGACGCCCCCTCCGGGCGAGGGGGGGGCGTTATGGGGAGGCGGGGAGGGGGTGGCAATATTTTGGGGGCCTCAGCCGCCCCCCGGATGAGCCCCTAACAAAGGGCGGGGCCGCAGCGCCGGGGGAGGGGGGGATCTGCGGCACCCCCCCACCCCCCCGGCTGCTTTGGGGGCCGATCGTGCCCCCCCGGCGGGGTCAGGGCGTTTCTGCTCAGTGTAAACATCCCCCCCCGGCACTGGGCAAACTGGGAGTGCCCGAGCCTCGGAAATGGGGGGAGGGTCCCGGGGGGCAGCGGCCGCACCCAGAGCAGGGTCTGCCCCCCAAGTGACAGCGCCCCCGCTGCGGGGACCCCCTCCCGAAGTGGGGGTGCCGCCCCCCCCCACCCTGGGGGTCCCCCCGCTCTGACTCACCCCCACCACGACGCTGTCGTCCCCCTGGAACACGGGCAGGAACTTGTCCCCCCGCAGGATCTCGGCCTGGTTGAGGGGCCGGAACCGGCACAGGACCTTGATGCTGCACTCGGAGCTGGGCTCGGCCATGGCGGGGGTCGGGGGGCGGCGAGACGGGGGCGGGCAAGGCAGCGGGGGTGTCACAGCCTAAGGCTCCGGCGGCACCGGGGCGCAGGAGGGTACCCGGGGATGCCCGGCGGTACCCGAGGGTGCAGGATGCAGCTCAGGGACGCGGGATGCTGCCCAAAGATGCAGGGGGGTGCCCAGGTGGTGCCCAGGGATGCAGGATGCTGCTCAGGGATGCAGGATGCTGCCCAAAGATGCAGGATGCTGCTCAGGGACGCAGGATGCTGCCCAAAGATGCAGGATGCTGCTCAGGGATGCAGGATGCTGCTCAGGGACGCAGGATGCTGCCCGGGCGGTACCCAAGGACTCGGAATGCTGCCCGGGATGCAGGATGCTGCTCAGCACTGCAGGGTGGTACCCAGGGCTGCGGGTGGTACCCAGGGATGCAGGATGCGCTGCGGGATGCAGGATGCGGCTTGCGGGCTGCAGGATGCGGGAGGCGGCGCCGGGCGGGGCTGACGCTCCGCAGCTGCCGCTGTCGCCGCTCCTGTGACCGCCGCTGTCGCCACTGCAGCCCCGGGACCGGCGGGCGGGGGGGCCGCCCCCCGCGCCCCCTCCCCCGCCTTAAGGTGGAGCCGCCCGCGGCTCTTAAGGTGGACGGAACTGGAAGGGGGGGACGCAGCCCCGGGGATGGACCCCCCCAAAATGCTGATTCACGGCTGGAGGAGCGGGACGGGCCGGGGAACGGGACCCGGGCGCGGCTGGGGAGGGGGGAGCAGGGCCAGCCTCCCCCCGCCGCCCTGCCCGGTGTCCCCCCCGCGGGAAGGCGGCGGTCCTGACTCATCCCCCCGGCCTGGAGATCCCCCGCCCCTCCGTGAGACCCCCCAAACACGCCGGGGGGCGGCCCGGAGCTGACCCCGGGGGTCTCCCGCGGGTGAGAAGTGCAGCCTCACCATGGGATGCAGCCCTGGACACACCCATGGGTGCCCACCCACCTGCGTGGCCGCAGTGCCACCCAGCCTGTGCTTGCCCCCACTGATGGGGGACACCCATGAGCCTGCCCCGGGTGTCCCCCCGGGTCCCCACCGTGTCCCCCACCCTGCGCTCTGCCGTGTGCCCCTCATGTGTCCTCCCGTGTGTCCCCCTGGCGTGCGCCCACTGCGTGCTCCTGTGCCCCCGTGTTTCCCCCTGTGTCCCCCCGTGTCCCTTCATGTGTCCCCACATCTGAACCCCGTGTCCCCCCGCGTGCTCCGCGTGTGCCCCCCCATGTATGTCCCCGCGCGTGTCCTCGTGTGCCCCCACCCGTGTGCCCCCCTCTGTGTCGCCCCCTGTGTCTCCCCCCGTTCCCCGCCCCTTGTTCACCCCCGGTGTGTCCCCCTCGTACCCCCGTGCCCCGTCCGTGGCCGTGTGCCCCCTGTCCCACACCACTGTCCTCCTCCGTGTCCGTGTGTCCCCATCGTCCCCCC